CCGGTCGTGAAATCATCGTCGATGTCAAAATCGACTTGCTCGATGTCCTGAAGGCTGCCTCTACGTTTCCTCACTGACTCAATCTCGGTCGCGGCGTCTTCTTCCTCGCCGCCGGGCAATGTGAACCCGACAGTCGTGTGGCGGCGGTTCGGCGAGACTGGTCTCAGAGCTGAACGCTTGGTCGGCGACAGCTGATGTGAGTGTGAGAGTGACTTGGATGCGATGCTGGGCTTCTGGTTATTTGGCGTTTGCATCGTTGGCACCTTGAAAGCTGGCCTTGGTTTGGCACGCTTTGGTGCTGGTCCGTTACCCTGGGACGAATTCGAATCGGCTGATGAGGCGAAGGACGCATTTGTAGAGTTTCCGAGAGCTCTGTTAGGTAATACTTGGGCATTCACCGTGGCGACTGAAACATCCTCTTGGGTGTTGATGGCTGACTTACGTCGTCGGTGAGTTCGCGGCTCTCTTGTCGTTTGGGGCTGAGCAATCTCCTTGTAGGTTCGTGAGGCTGGCTTAGCAGGCAACAGATGCATCGCCATCATTTTGCGAGCCGTCCTGAATTCTTCAAGTTCTTCTTCTTGCTCTCTGCAAAACTCCTCGAGCTCTTGAATCCTCGCTTCTAGTGGTGGTACTGATGCTTGAAGATGCTGAAGATTGTTACGCGTCTTTCCGTGATCATGTCGTTCTTCTTGAGCGTTGCGCTGGGCATCTAGCAGCCGCGCTTCGAGCGTCTCGTATCGCTCTTCAGCCTTCATGGTGATAGCCTCCAGATCGTTGGCGTGCTTCACCGCAAGCTCTCTCGTCGTTTCAGCCGATGATTCCTTGAACTCCTGGTAACTAGTCCGCGCAATATGAAGCTGTCGAATGGCATCCTCTAGTTCCGCTTCCTTCGCTTCCAGATCTTGCTGGTATTCTGACGCTTGAGTCTCGAGTTGTGCGATCTTTTCGGCTTGACGGGCAGTATTCGCTCGCTCCCGTTCAAGCGTGTCCTCTGCTTCACGGCTGCGTTTCTGCTGCTCCTCAAACTGTGCGGTGAGGCTGCGATAGTCGGTCTCGTGCTGCATTTGAGATGCTTGCAGCTGGCTAATGGTACCATGCAGCTCCTCAACCTGTTCATCGCGGACGCGCTTGTCCTCCTCGTACTGGCGTATCGTCGAGCAGAGTTCATGCTCCTTTACGCTAGAACTTTCGTGAGCGGCCTTGAGAGCCTCGGTCGCGTTCCGCTCTGACACCTCCAGAGAGGTCTCCACTTCCTGTATCTTGGAGTACATCCGCCCCTTTTCTTCCAACAAGTCGGACTTCTCTTGCTCCAGACGCTTTTGCTCGTCTATGGAATCCTGCAATTCCTTCTCCAACCCCTCGACGTATTCCACAGATTCTTCTCTATCCTTGTGTAGAAAATCGGTTTGCTCGTTGAGATGGGCGATCTTCTCGTTTAGATGAGCGACTTGTTCCTGGAGTTTGGCGGACTTCTCTGTCTCCACACGTAGGGGCTCTTCGACTGTATTGCAGCGTGTCTCGAGATCACTGCATATTTGTGCCATAGAGCGCACAACAGCATCTCGCTGATGTTTGTTCTGGCTCTGTAGCTCCAATTCGAGGCGTTTGCGCCAATCCTGGAGATGTTGGCCCATGTACTGCGTGCTTGCTTCTTGGAAGAGGGAGATTGAAGGCTGAGTGGGGCTTTTCGACGAGTGTGAGCAAGTATCTAGCGCGGGGGGAAGGTCTCGCTGTTTCTTGATAAGCGCAGCCACGAGGGTATGCGGTATCGTCGACTCTCCCGGTTGCGCCATAAGAACAATGATAAGTAATGAAGCGATTGTGGCAGCGATCAATTGCCGACGGAATAATGCAGCATGTGTACAGCAGCCGGGGCCTTCTTTCGTCATACCAGTACGAATGAGGTTCTGGATTTTCTCTTGCAAGGCCCTCGATGACAGTGCGCGCAGCACAGTGGTTCGTAAAGCAGCATTCGCCATCGCGGCTGTGGCCAGCTCATCGATAGTGTCGATGGAGTTGGAAGTTTCGCGGGAGTCAGGCTGCGAAGCACATGCTGATAAAATGCCTGATAAGAGTGCCGCGACGGTGCTTTCCTGCATCTGCACCTGCCCTGGTTAGTGAACCAGCCAGTACTACAGAATGAATTGCTTACTGCGTAGATTGGCAGTGAGACTGCAAGAAGCTCGGCAAAGCCTTCAGGCTCTGCCACGCGAGGGGCTTCCAATATGCATGCCTCGTAGCGTATGACGATACCTTGCGGCAAGCTCTGAGAACCTGAAAGTATGCCAAAGAATGACAGGGCCTCTAATTGGACGGATAGACTCGCACTGGAGTTTTGGATTTTGGAGGCACACTTTTCGTACAGCATGGCATACTTCTTCTGAACTTGAGGCCAATTGTCTTTCACGTCTTGGCCAATGAATTGCATAGCCCTCGAGGCAATACGTAGGCCTTCGATTGCTTCATTTTCCTTGATTCCGCCTCGAAGAATCCACACTACGTTCAAACAAGTGAGCTCAATAGTCTTGTATAAGTAGCTTGTCGAGCCGAACAGCTTTTGGCCTGAAGGTGTTGCCCAATGTTGTCTTAGCCTTTCGGTGGATGTCGGCTCCTCGTCACCAGGCGGATTTTGCAGTCCGTCGACCCCCACGGGATGTTCCGTGATGAGCACTATACCTTCTGCCCACAAAAACAGCAAAGAGGAATCGGCGACTTTCGGGGATCTGAGTATGTTGCACAACTCTGTGTCGAACCGCTGCCTCAGATCTCTGGGAAGAAGGCTGTAAAGTCGACGACATGCACCGTTGAGCATACGGTACACTGACTTCAGGGTCTCGTAGTTTGGTTGCTGTGTGGCGTTTTCGAAGACATTAAGAAAGAAGTTTTGTGCTACGGCGGGTAATGGTATTGCCTCGGGCAGTGGGCGAGAGAGAAGAAGCACACATAGCTCGGCAAGCTATATCATTATTAGTAAGTGATATACCTTACAATTCTCGTACTCACATGTTCGAATTCGGACTTTGATGAATTTGCCCTTTTCAACAGAGAAGGGAGTAAGGACGGTTCCAGGACCAGTAGCTCATCTCGAAATTCTGGCGCATGACCTGAGAACACGTAGTCAGTTTGATTGCGTTTCTACTATCAAGCGGAGACCGGTCAACTGCTTACACAATAGGTGCAGCACACGAAGCGTGTATGCGTTCAGGGACAGTGCATCGTGGACAATTCTGCCTAGTTTCCTCACCGCGCAAGGTGACCGGTCTTGGACGCATGATCGGATAGTCGGTACGTCGACGCGCGCCAGAAGATCGGAAAGGTTCTGTGGGATCTCGCGTCAGCTCCTCTCATCAACGATGCGCTGCTCCTGCAGCGAGTCATGTGCTCAAATACGGGAGTTGGCTAGTGGCACGACATGAGGATGCATTGGATGTTGGGGAAGATGAGGGGCAAATACGTACGGATAGCGAAGGGGGGTATGGACACTCGATGATCCTTGTCAGTTCCGACGTCAACTCTGCGCTGATATCCGCCATGTCTGCTGGATCGAGTTATGTTCGGAGTTGGGCCGAATGTTCGTTATGCGTGGATTTGTGACGCGAACTTGTTTGCTGTCGCGTTCCTCTGGCGACGGCCGAAGAGACGCGCCGGGATCGCCGACTTCCCCATTGGCATCAATGCACGCGACCATGCATACTGCGCCAACATCTCACACTCCACTCCCTGCTCCTGCTCGCACTCCACATGTTTGCCTATTGACGTCAGCCATCTATAGATCGTACAGCTGCTGGGCGCAACATTGCTAGCCTGCAGGCATTGCGGGGCTCTTTCTATTCTCCGCTCACACGTTACCTCCCATTGGTGGTAATAGACTCTACGCGTCGTCTTTGCTTTTGGCAGTTCCTTTGCAGTCTCGAGCTTAATGGCGTTCTATCACATTGCTCATGGGAGCCGTATACGGTATCCCGCTTCAGTACTATATGGGAGTAGTCGTCTGCCTTGACCTGTAGCCGTTACCGCGGCATCCACCGGCCTCCTCCGGCTTTCTGGCTTCACCGACAAGCAGACGCCTGGAGATCGCGCGTGGGGTACGGCAAACGCTCATGTGCAGCTTGTTCCCCCACTCGCTCGATTGTCAGCCAGCATCTGAGCTGCACAGACGAGAGGAACAAGTTTCGTGAGGTAATGGTATCACCGTCGTCCAATCGCCAAGGGTAAGTCTGCCGCTCAGCTTCTCCCCAAGCCTCCCAAGCTTCTGTTTTTGAGCCTCAGCCATGGGCATCAGACATCGAGGTAGACGATTGTCCCTGACAGGCGCCTCTTCTGCCACTTGTCTCGCTCTCGAAAAGAAAACATACATGGCAGCAGCGTATCATGGTCGTCCGCAGAGTTCCAGATCCACATCTTCGGTCCTTGTCTGCAGCCGCTCGGGGCCCTAGCGAACGCCTCGTCACGCGACGGCATCTCGCTCGGAATGTCATCCAGCGTCACCTGTCGCCACGATGCGTCTCGAACCAACACATTTGCTTGTCGTTGCCCTGGTCTTCCCCGCAATTACCTTGCGTGTGTCCAAGCCCCTTGCAGGTGATCATGCACGACTTCATTTGATGCGTGAGCCGAAAAATTTGATACAGAAAATCGGGAATCTCGTCAGCCTCCCACGCTATCACTGGTCCATCCCACGACTTTTAGGACGTGTATTGCGACTTTACCTGTGCGCTGGCCAACGACGCTCAAAGCGATACCCGAAAGAACTATCGCGCCAACTGCGTTTAGACTGAAATAACCTCTCCCCGCTCTTACTGTGCTTGTCGTTCGGCTTCTAGATCCACAAAATGCGTAGGCCAGCCTTGCAACCATCTTCTCCTCCACTCTTCTGTCATACTAGTTCGCCAAATGCGCCCTGACCCATAGTCAGCGAAGTGGATTCCACTTTTAGCTCTTCCCAGCATCCCAACAACTGATTGCAACTTCATTTCCCCTTCTTCGTTGTCGATTTCGTCATGTTCCGCCAGCCAGCGGCGCGACTGAGGCAAATAACCTCACCCATCTTCAAGCGAGGTGGCGCTCGAGCACGCACTGGACGCGAGCAGACCTTCAAAGCCGAGCAACTTCAAAGACCATTTTGGAACTCGGGACGCGTCTTGCTATTTTCTGCAGTTACCGGAACGACCACATACTTCTACGGCGCCAATGACGAACCGCACAGAATTCAGATGCCATGGAAGAAGTCATCAGGGCCCCAATATGCGAACAAATACGAGATGGAGAGGGTAAGTTTGCGATTATAAAATCCTTTCGCGTCGACCAGTCACTTAGTTTAGTACAGGCCATTTTAGAGCTCAGGGATGTTCTTGGGGAAGACACCATTAGTACCGACGACGAGGATTTGCATCGACACGGATATTCGGAATGGTCGTCTATCAACATCGACCAACTTCCCGTTGCGGTGGCGTATCCGAAGTCCACTGAAGAATGTGCTACGATCGCCAAGGTCTGCTACAAGTACAAGATACCGATGAGTACGTTCAACAAGACGCATGGAGAGATGAGTATTGACAGCGCGCAGTCCCATATTCTGGGGGATCAAGTTTGGAGGCCAACTTCTCGGCTCCATTCGGTGGCATGAGCATTGACTTCTCGTTCATGGATCAGATCCTGGCCTTGCACGAAGATGAGTGAGTTAATTATACGTTTAGCATGCAAGACTGGCGACGCTGACAGTGATGCGTAGTATGGACGTAGTGGTTCAGCCTTCTGTCCCATGGATGAGTCTCAATGATCAGATCAAAGACTCGGGGTTATTTTTCCCAGTCGACCCTGGCCCATCGGTACGTTGTCATGTGTTACACAACTTTGCAATCAACCCTCGGAAACCCCGATGCGGAACTCCGAGTTCATTCTAACGGGCGTGGCAGGCCCGAATTGGAGGTATGGTGGGTACGAGCTGCAGGTAAGGTCTATGATGGTCAGTGACGTGGTCCAACAGCTGACCCTCCTAGTGGCACCAACGCAGTGCGATACGGCACGATGAAGGATTGGGTCATCAATCTGACTGTAGTCCTTGCCGATGGCACGATCATCAAGACCAGAAGAAGGCCCAGGTATGCAAATTGTTTCAGTGTCGGAATGTGCGATAGACTGACTATTTCCAGGAAGTCATCGGCCGGTTACAATCTTACCAACCTCTTCGTTGGCTCCGAAGGCACCCTGGGTATCGTGACTGAGATCACTTTGAAACTCGCAGTAGTACCACAAGAGACCAGCGTCGCAGTCGTCACCTTTCCCACGATACGGGATGCCGCTGCCGCAGCTTCCAAGGTGTTGCGCGCCGGAGTGCCGGTGGCTGCGATGGAGATAATGGATGACGTGCAGATGGGTGTAATCAACAAAGCCGGATCAACGACCAAAAAGTGGAAAGAATTGCCGACCATGTTCTTCAAGTAAGTTTCCAGAACATCCCTTGACATGTGAAAGCACGAACTAAGAGCCTCAAACAGATTTTCGGGAACCAAAGCAGGGGTACGTCAGCCCTACGCGTCCTGCAATTACCTAGAGCGGAACTGACTGCATATAGGTACAGGAGAACATTGAGCTGGTCAAGTCCATTTCCAGGAAACACAAGAGCGGGGACTTCGAATTCGCCGTCAGCGCCGAGGAGCAGAAGACGCTTTGGTCTGCGCGCAAGGAGTCCTTATGGAGCATGTTGGCGCTCCGTCGCGAAGGCGACGAAGTTTGGTCAACAGATGTCGCCGTGCCGATCTCCAGGCTACCAGACATTATAGGTATGTAAGGGAATTCAAGGTTTCCGGAGGTTGCTAACTAATTGTCGATAGAAATCTCCAAGAAGGAGATGGATGACCTCGGTCTCTTCGCCAGCATCCTAGGTCATATCGGAGACGGCAACTTCCACGAAAGCATTATGTACAACAGCAAAGATCCCAAAGAGCGAGCGGCTGTCGAGAAGTGCGTTCATGACATGGTCGACCGCGCGCTAGAGATGGATGGCACATGTACCGGCGAGCACGGCATTGGGCTGGGCAAGAAAGAATCGTTGCAGAAAGAACTCGGTCTCGACACTATCAATGTGATGAGAAGCATCAAGGGCGCATTGGATCCGTACTGGCTCATGAACCCGGGGAAGATCATGGACGCTCAGGCGTAGAATTGCATGTCGAGATGGCGCATCGTCTGAAGTTCCTCGACGTACACGCATTGAAAGACGGTTGATTATCGGTGCATCTTTGAGGGGCATATATAGATTTCGTACCGCCTCATCGTCTAGTGTTGTTTTGGTCTGGTAATGAAAAAGCATTGTTCATGGCAAGACAGTCGGCAAATGAGCGCGTTCAAGACCTCCGTGATCGGCTGGTGTCGCGTTTTCCACCCCACCCCCGCGTCATACCTAGCCAGAACTTTGTGAACTCGATTGACTCAAACTTGCAATACCAACAACCACCACAATGGACGCTGAAAAGTTCACGTCTCAGAGCAAAAACTTCCCCAAGAAGAAGTGCGGTGTGTAGACCATCTCTGGTTGGAAATAGCCGACTGACTCCGTTACAGGTGTGCTCGGCGCGACTGGCTCCGTCGGCCAGCGCTTCATCCTTCTTCTTGCGCTACACCCACACTTCGAGCTCCACGCCGTTGGAGCCTCTGAGCGATCAGCCGGCAAGAAATACAAAGATGCGGTCAAGTGGAAGCAGGCGCTGCCCTTCTCGGAGCGCATTGGAGAGCTGGTGGTGAAGAAGTGCACACCTGAAGAGTTCAAGGACTGTGACATGGTCTTCTCTGGTCTCGACAGCGATGTTGCTGGGGACGTTGGTACGCAGTTCACTTCAAATCACGATTGCGATACTGACACATAACAGAGATGGCCTTCCTCAAGTCCGAACTCGCCGTCTTCTCCAACGCAAAGAACTACCGCCGCGACCCTCTCGTGCCGCTCGTCGTACCCACCGTAAACCTCCCCCATCTCGACGTCATCAAGCACCAACGACAACACCACAAGCTAGAGAAGGGCTTCCTCGTCTGCAACTCCAACTGCGCAGTCATCGGTCTCGTCATACCTTTCGCAGCGCTCCAAGCCAAGTTTGGTCCCATAGATCAGGTCTCGGTCGTCACAATGCAGGCCGTTTCCGGTGCTGGCTACCCCGGTGTAAGCAGCATGGACATCATCGACAACGTCGTGCCTTTCATATCAGGCGAGGAAGACAAGCTCGAGACGGAAGCATCGAAGATCTTGGGTAGCGTCAACGACGACATCACAGGATTCGTAGATCAGCCCATGAAGGTGTCCGCAGCATGCAACCGCGTGCCGGTACTGGACGGACACACCGCATGCGTATCGCTACGCTTCCAACGCCGTCCGCCACCGAGCGCGGAAGAAGTCAAGCAGGCAATGCGCGAGTACGTGTCTGATGCACAGAAGCTGGGTTGCCCGTCAGCGCCCGCGAAGGCGATTGTGGTTATGGAGGAGCCAGATAGGCCACAACCAAGGCTGGACAGGGAGACGGATAGGGGATACGCTGTTAGTGTGGGTAGGATAAGAGAGGATGAGGCAGGCATCTTCGACCTCAAGTTCGTTGCATTGAGCCACAACAGTAAGTTTGACTTGCGATTGCGAAGGGCTGGGCGAATGCTAACTAGTTGCAGCTGTCATTGGAGCGGCGGGCTCGTCGATATTGAACGCAGAGGCGGCGGTGCTGAAGGGGTATGCTTAGGGTTGAGAACCGGGATACAACTCAGATGCAAGAAATAATCAATTGCACACATTTGGAGTCTAGAGACGGTCTGGTGACTAAGTGCTCGTTGATCGTGATGTGAGAAAACTCCATGGTGTTGTCCTGATCCGCGACGAGTAGCGCATGGCCACACCCTGAATCCTACATTGACGCAAGGATTTCAAATTTGCATCCTTCATCCCATGATAAAACAACTGAACAGAAAATTTGACGTGAAAGTAGGCGCCTGGACTCCAAGATGTTGAGTTCCCCTCGCTTGAGATGGGGCATCGGAGCACTTCAGCGCTGGTCTTGGCGCGCTAGTCCTCGGCTACGGCACACGCTAGTGGCAGACGAAAAATGAGGACTCCAGTCTCTCGAACTTCGCTTTCGACAGGACCTCCAATCTCAACGACTAACCTCACAGAACCGTCACAATGGCCCGTGGACCCGTCAAGCACCAGAAGCGCCTCAGCGCGCCCTCGCACTGGCTCCTGGACAAGCTGTCCGGTATGCTCGACTCCCGCAACCTGCGCTGCAATGGCTATCGCGACTTCAGAACTGACATCTTCCAGGTGCCTATGCTCCCAAGGCCTCCCCCGGTCCTCACAAGCTCCGCGACTCCCTTCCCCTCATCATTTTCCTCCGCAACCGCTTGAAGTATGCGCTCAACGCCCGCGAGGTCAACGCCATTCTCATGCAGCGCCTCGTCAAGGTTGACGGCAAGGTCCGCACCGACTCCACCTTCCCCTCGGGACTGATGGACGTCATCTCCATCGAGAAGACCGGCGAGAACTTCCGCCTGATCTACGACACCAAGGGCCGCTTCACCGTCCACAGGATAACAGATGAGGAGGCACAATACAAGCTCGGCAAGGTCAAGCGCGTCCAGCTTGGCAAGGGCGGAATTCCCTACTTGGTTACGCACGATGCGCGAACGTAAGTTCCCGCTCTATCAGCCGTTGGACCACAGTTTGGGCTAGGTGTCTGAGGGAAACCTCTTTCACCAGGCATACGACCAGGGTCTGGCTATGTCCGAATTGCTGCTAAAATTTTGTGTAGAATCCGCTACCCCGACCCAGCCATCAAGGTCAACGACACCGTCAAGGTCGACCTCGCCACTGGCAAGATCTCCGACTTCATCAAGTTCGACACTGGTGTCATTGTCATGGTTACCGGTGGTCGTAACATGGGTCGTGTCGGTGTCATCACTCACCGTGAGCGCCACGACGGAGGCTTCAACATTGTCCACTTGAAGGACGCTGTTGACAACGAGTTCACCACTCGTGAGTCCAACGTCATGTAAGTTGGACATCCGCACAGAAACGAGAACAGTTACTAACATGAGTTCAGCATCATCGGAAAGGAGAAGCCATGGATCTCTCTGCCCAAGGGTAAGGGTGTCAAGCTCTCCATTGCTGAGGAGCGTGACCGCCGCAGGGCGTACGCCATTGCTCACTAAGCGTGACGCTGGCGTAGTTGTAGGTTAGGATATGAAGTACCCATGAGTTCATGAAGATAGGTGCAGGACTCGATCCCAAAATTCAGGCGTTCATGATCACTTGTGGGGAGGTTGATCGGATCTGGAGTCTCTGCATATCATACGAATACCATGTGAGGTCTGAGAATCAAGCAAATAAACACTTCAGTCTTGCCCAAACATGAAATGCTTTGAATGTTCAATGGACGTGCGACAGCGTGGAGCCGTGCGGGCTGTGCAACGGGTCGAGTGGATCTGTAGTGTGGGAGATATAGGCGGGAAGGCTCAAACAAAGAGCATCTCGCGTGGAATGCGATAGGTGAGGTGATATAGGTTGGTGGCGCTGGCCTGATCCTTTTCCGGGATCTGGCTGCAGTTGATAGGAGGGCGCTATTTCGTGCCCTGTTTCGAGGCGATAACGCATTGCAGTGTATTTACCAGGCGAGGCCTGCGCCGTCGTGGAAGCAGATGGCGACCACGATGGCTGGTGTTGACAGTCGCTGCGCTGCCTCAGGACCAGGAAGAAGAAAGGGTCTGTGTTTCAGCGGTCTTGTCTGAAGCACGCAGCAGAGCAACGGTGTTCTCAGTGCCTGGATGATGGGCCGTGCGTCTACGCGAAATGAGACGATAGATATCCCTGCCAAACTGGGGCGGGAGAGCAGCGTGGACGCGTGCGACTCCGACTGATGCTCCGAACACAAAGCAAAGTCGCAGGTAAGACGGGCCTGCTGCGAGGGCAAGGGGCGCGACAACGGGGCTACCCGCGAAAATACTGCCGCCGGGGGTCGTCCAACACGCTACATTCATTCACAGCGCGACAGCTTAGACGTCTGGGTCAACGTCAACGGCTCGATAGGTCCCGCGTCAATACCAAGTTACTGCAGCGACTAGCCGGCATAGTTCCAACGTTCGCTATACCTCGCGCCATTCACACTCGTGATTGGCTGCGCGTCCGCTCTTTCCTGCTGCTGCACCGTCGCTCCTTCCAGCCCTCCGCCCACCTCCTCCAGGCGTGTCCAAGCCTACCACGCTTCCCCGCAACCCCCAACAGCCAGCGCCTGCCCCCTCGAGCGCCTCATCGCGTGTCCAGCCGTCGTCGCGCACGCTCGAGCTCCTTCGAGGCATCAATGACCCAACAGGCATAACTGGTGTAACTTCGATCGTCACTCGTTTCACGTCAGGGCAAGAGTGCGCTTAGGCACGTTTACGACTGCGCCCACTGTTACGAGACTGCCGACCGTCTGCACCTTCACCTTCGTCGCGCACACGTCCGATCGCCCTCCCCAACACCACGCCGTCGCCTTGAGAGAGCCGGTCTCTGGCGAGCCGGAATTCCACGCGGTAGCCTCCGTTATTCTTCGCCAACATGTTGCGCCCTGCGACCCCCTTATCGATACTATTCTTCGTCGCCTTTGTGCTGCTGCTGCTCTCGACGCTCTCGACGCCTCTGATCAAGAGCATTCCCCTCGCTACCTACCGCGGCGTCCACTTTGGCGTCCTCGGCTACTGCGAGAATGGCGACCAAGGCTGCAAAGGGCCCATGATCGGGTACAACACTGGTATGGCGCCCTGTATCACATACGACGGCCATGGTGCTAACTGTTCAAACAGAGAAACTGTTCGCAGGCGAAGACAGCTCCGACTTCTCGCTCCCCTCCGCCCAGCGCCATGCGCTTTCCTCCATTCTCATCGTGCACCCTGTCGCAGCTCTCATGACGCTGATTTGCTTCGGTCTCTCCGTCGCTGCCCACTTTCACTCGCCCGCCCACTCACCGCGCTACCTCCTCGCCCTGCTCATATTTACGTTCCCGACTCTGCTGGTCACACTACTCGCTTTCCTCGTTGACATCCTGCTGTTCGTGCCGCATGTGGGCTGGGGAGGATGGATCGTGCTAGGTGCTACCGTCATTATCGTCGCAAGCGGTATCGTTACGTGCGCTATGAGGCGCACACTGGTCAGTC